ACTGAGTGTGAAACTCAGCTGTGCTGGACTAGACAGGGTTAACACTTGTGTTTCCCTCCCTCCCTCCCTGCCTGCTCTTTCTCTCTCTTTTCCCCTCTCTTTCTCTGTTTCTTTCTTCCTTTCTCTTTTATTTTTCTGTCTTTCTCTTTTCCTTCTTCCCTCAATCCCTTCCTCCCTCCCTTCTTTCCTTCCTTTCTTCCTTCCTTCCCTCCTTCCTCTCTTTCTCTTTTCTCTCTCTCTCTCTCTCTTGCTCTTTCTTTCTTTCCCAGAGTTTCCCTCTGTCACCCAAGCTGGAACGCAATGGTGTGAACACTACAGCCTCTAACTCCTGCCTCCCAGGGTGCTGGATTACTGGAGTGAGCCACTGCCCCTGGCCCCCACTTACACTCTATGCAAAAGAAAGACATTGAAGAAGCTGTTTGAATATGACCCAAAAAAATGGTCATCAAAGGAGTAACTTACACTTTAGTGAAACTTGAAAAGGAGTTTAATATGCTACATGAGGTTATGCACATGAAACAGTGAGCCTTTGATTCTGGAGAACAAGAGGCATCTGCATAAACAACACAGAGATTCAAAAAGGCTTGGGAAAGTGTTGCTCAAGCATGTCATGGGTTGGCTGTAATCAGAAATCAAGCTTGTGGGAGCTGTTGTTGGGAAAGCCCGTCAGCAGGTAAGCAGCAACATTGCCCCTGGCTAGAGTTGTGAGGAGGGACTTGGGTGGAGCATGGGGAGGGACTTAGACCTGGAAGGCCTGGAGGGAGAGCTCAGCAAATCATCATGATCACACCACTACACTCTGCACTGCAGCCTGGGTGGCACGGTGAGACCCCGGATCTTAAAAAAAATAAAGTTGGGGTTGGAGGAGGACTTTTGGCCCCAGGAATGAGACAGAAGCTAGCCAACAGAACCTAGGACAGGCTGGAAGTCCAAGCTGACCCCACAGCAAACTTACTTTGTGTTGTGTTCCCCAGTACCAAGCCAAACATCCTACTCTTCCTTTCCTTTCTTTTATTTTTATTTATTTATTTTTTTGAGACAGAGTCTTGCTCTGTTGCCAGGCGCCAGGCTGGAGTGCAGTGGCGCGATCTCGGCTCACTGCAACCTCCACCTCCCGGGTTCAAGCAATTCTCCTGCCTCAGCCTCCTGAGTAGCTGGGACCACAGGCATGCGCCACCACGCCCAGCTAATTTTTACATTTTTTAGTAGAGACGGGTTTTCACCATGGTCTTGATCTCTTGACCTTGTGATCCACCCGCCTCTGCCTCCCAATGTGCTGGGATTACAGGCGTGAGCCACCATGCCCGGCCCCTACTCTTCCTTTCTATGATCAGGATTAGTCCTAAAAATTGTGGCAGCGCTGAGCCTACAGGTTTGAAGGGGTTCAGGAGATCTGAGATACGGAGAAGAGGGCCAAAAATGCTAGGAACTAGGAAGGGTGTGAGGACGTTTTCTGAATGAGAAGAGCATGCAGAGCTCCTGGATAGGTCAAATGATGTAACATCTGGTTCTCCCTCTTTGCTGGGGAACCTTTATATTAAAAAAGTCCTCAATTTGTGGCTGCCTGGCTTAAGGCTAGGGCAATTTGTACTGTGTCAACTTGAGTAAGTTGGGATCTACATTTCCCAGAATCCCATTCCCCATACGGTTTCAAGAGTGAGTTGGCCAAAATCGGAATTTGCAGGATATTAGGCAGGCAGAGGTGAAGTAGCAGTCCTGACCCTTTGTAGGCTGTCGTGATTAGAAGTGATTACAGACAGATGCAGAGGTGCCTATAAACCACTGGTTTCAGGTGTGGGCTCGTTTTTTTCTTGCTGTCTTCTGCTCCCAATCTACCGCTTCTTATCAACTGCTGAACTATAGAATAACAGTGGCTTTTTTTTTTTTAGACACAGTCTGGTTCTGTTGCCCAGATTGGAGTGCAATGGTGTAATCTTGGCTCACTGCAATCTCTGACACCCCCTCCCCGCCGTCCAGGTTCAAGCAATTCTTGTACCTCAGCCTCCCAAGTAGCTGGGACTACAGGCGTGGGCCACCATGTCTAGCTAATTTTTCAATTTTTAGTGGAGACTTGGTTTAGCCATATTGGCCAGGCTGCTCTCAAGCTCCTGGCCTCAAGTGATCCAACTGCCTTGGCCTCCCAAAGTGCTGGGATTACAGGTGTGAGCCATTGCACCCAGACCAATGGTGAACCCTTGACTCACTGCCAGATACTTGACAGTGAGGCACAAAAAAAGTAGCTACGCAGAGGGACGGCTTTCCACGGACCTCCCATGAACTTGTTTTGCCATTCTATTTTGGGGCTGGATGTGCTTAGCTTCTCAGATTGACCAAATAGTAATCTCTTCTCTGATCCCCAACTTTTCTCCTGGACCTTCACTTTCTTTTTTTTTTTTTTTTTGAGATGGAGTTTCGCTCTTGTTACCCAGGCTGGAGTGCAATGGCGCGATCTCGGCTCACCGCAACCTCCGCCTCCTGGGTTCAGGCAATTCTCCTGCCTCAGCCTCCTGAGTAGCTGGGATTACAGGCACGCACCACCATGCCCAGCTAATGTTTTGTATTTTTAGTAGAGACGGGGTTTCACCATGTTGACCAGGATGGTCTCGATCTCTTGACCTCGTGATCCACCCGCCTCGGCCTCCCAAAGTGCTGGGATTACAGGCATGAGCCACCGCGCCCGGCCTGGACCTTCACTTTCTTGCGCCCTCCCAGTTAAAATGTATAAGATCTTGTCCTAGAATTCATTTCCTATCCCATAAGTAGTAGTTCTGCTTCCCTGAATAACCTCTGACTATATACTAGGCAGGCTGTGAAAAATCCAGGCGGCTGCTTACTTACTGTAAGAATTATTTGGTTCCAAGAAAGAGAAAGCCATGCTGAACCAATTTAAGCAAAAAAGGGGCTCTTTATTGGCTGATGTTCTCCAACCATGGAAGTGCTGGGGTGACTGGAGCCAGGAATTTAAAAACTGTCAGTCTCTTATCTCTGCCACTCTTTTCCTGTTAGCTTTATTCTTCCCTACATGGGGAAAGGCCAATCAGCCCAGCTTGGGTCATGTGTCTACCACGAGGACTAATCACAGGCTAGAGGAATGAGGCATTACAATTGATCCACCTGGCTCACTTGCCCACCTCCATGATATGGGATTGAGCCTATTATTAGAAAAAAGGGTAGCATAAATGTGGCTGCTCAGAGAATCGTAAGCCAGGAAACTACCTGGAGTTACGTCTACTACACTACTTTTAGTAAAATTCAACTGGGCAATTTTGAGCATAACGAAAGCCATTTCTAGCTAAGGCATTTAAAGACATGTCTAGTAGTTGGAGGACACAAATAAGTTGCATACGCCCTTCATAGAATCTGATGTTACAGACCAGGCGCAGTGGTTCACACCTGTAGTCCTGGCATTTTGAGAGGCCAAGGTGGGTGGATCATCTGACGTCAGGAGTTCGAGACCATCCTGTCCAACATGGTGAAGCCCTGTCTCTACTAATAATACAAAAATTAGCCGGGTGGGGTGATGCATGCCTGTAATCGCAGCTACTCGGGAGGCTGAGGCAGGAGCATTGCTTGAACCGGGAGGCAGAGGTCGCAGTGAGCTGAGATCACACCATTGCACTCATCTGGCTGACAAGGGCAAAACTGTGTTTAAAAAAAAAAAATCTGATATTACACTAAAGGCTTTGAGACCTTTTTGTACTTTACGGGAAACCTTAAAAACATCAGTTTATTATTGAGGATCTTTAGATGGAGGTCCAAAATGTGTCTCACTAGAGGCTTGCTAAGATGGGCAGAAGACACTTTGACAGTGAAAGAAGAGAAGAGCAACATAAAGTCTTTTTTTTTTTTTTTTTTAA